AAATGGATCGATAAATTGACCACGGTGCTCAGGAGTGAATGTGGGCATGATTCACTGCATGAGTGGTTCCAGTCTAGGCTCTCAACAGCCTAATGAGTAAATTCCATTCAGACAGAGGTTTCCTCGATTCACCACGAATCTTTGGAACCCAATGTGGTTGCCTATATATCCGCGGGATTTGACGGCATATTTGCAAGATACTTAACAATGGTACAAACATACGATGAAGAATCAGCAGTATTTCATCTGAATAGTGAGATCAAATTTGAGCTCGTTCACCATACTTACCGTATTGTCTTCTACGTTCTCGCCACAATGACAATGGCATCAACCTGTCCCTTCCTGGATCTTAAAGCGGCTTTCGACTCCGTCGACCGCTCTTAACTCTGGCGCTGCCTTTCGCTGAAAGGTGTGCCCGAGAAGTTCATTTCAATATTACGATCCCTCTATACTCATAGGTGAAGCCGAGCTTACGGTACGTTTTCACGCGAGTTCACAGCGGAAAGTGGTGTTCGTCAAGATTGCCCTTTTTCTCCTTTTCTATTTATCTTTTTTATAGATCTGATTATGGAAACAGCCCTATTCTCATGCGAGGATAGTTGAATCGATTTACTCCCAGGTGGCAGGCTGTTTGATCTAGAATATGCAGATGACATTATAGTACTAAGTGAAGATCCAGGTAAGTTACAAGCTTTTCTGGAAAGTTTGAGTGTACCTTCAAAGTGNCAAAGTGTAAAATGTTACTACAAGACTGGGTTGGTCCAGCTCCCAGCCTCACCCTAACGGGGAAGTCATAGAGCAGGTGGATAAGTTTCATCTGGGTAGCTACATCTCACCCGGTGGACGCATCACGGATGAAGTATCAGCTCGCATACAAAAGGCTAGGTTGGCATTTGCCAATTTGAAGCATCTGTGGTGCCGTCGCGACATTCGACTGTCTGTGAGGGGTCGAATTTATGCTGCATCAGTTCAGCCAGTTCTGCTATATGGAGCAGAAACTTGGCCAATAAGAAGACAGGACAAAGATAGACTGTTTGTGTTTGAACATCGCTACGCAGCATTGCACGAATCTGGTGGAGCAGCTGGACCAGCAATGCTGAGGTCAGGCGAAAAGTTTTAGGTAGTCGCGGTTGTCCACTGGAGCAAGTGATCNTCCATAGATTACGTTAGTTGGGGAATGTGTTACGTATGTCCCCAAATAGGTTGCCACGACGAGCGATGTTTGCCGAGGCAAGTAAAGGGTGGAATAAAGCCCAGGGTGTTCAAGCTAAGACCTGGAATGACGGTATTAAAACTCTAACCAGGTGTCTTGGACACATAGGTTTCTGCATCTTCTCAATTTCTCTGTATCATTAGTCAACTGGACTTTTCAATTTTCTCTTCGGTCCCACTTTCAATCTTTCCTGTCTTTCTTCTAATGTTCATACAAATGGGCAACCGAAAAATAACAACCAAAACCGGCACACGATAGTGCATGGTTAATGGTTGTACAAACTGAACTGAAACCACGATTTATCCTTTTTTTACTCGGCTTTGTCGCATAAGTTCTTATACTTGTTGTGTTATTCACTAACCTCATCGCATTTTTCACAGCCTGATTACACCTCTGCGATCATTATAGTTCATTAAGTGAGATGTGTATGTTGATAAGAATAACTCACAGTGAACCGTGATTCAATAAAAGATGATAGCTTTGTGCCGGGTGCTTCATGAGATATCAATTTGAGATCCGTTTTAGTCTTCGACCTACGTCGCCTTAATTTATTAGGCAAAATTCTCCTACTTGAGGAAAATGAGGAAATAAAATGTATTTTAACTTCCTTTTTTATTTATTAAATATATAAATGCACAGCCAACTTTCAGGAAGGGGGCTGCGGTAAAAAGGCTGTCTGGGGAAAATTCCGAGATAGGGAAGACGAGTGGCGGTGGAGGGGTTCAAATCCGCTACTCCCCGGTCACAATTTGGTGCCCTAACCACTTGGCCACCACCGGCGTTCTTTTCATAATTCATGAACAATCTTGGATACAAAAAGTGTTTTTGAAGGATAAGTCTATTTCTGTTGCGATCTCTGAACTTAGATTTATCTCGGGGTTGGAGCACATATTGCCATGCTTCGCACTGGTTAGATTTCGTTTTGACAATCTGGATCAGCTTCAAAATAGAGGTACATAGTGTATCACGAGAACATAGGATAGCGAACGAGCTTGTGTTCGGTCGTAGATGAATGCAGCAGATTGAGACACAAATATACACATCCCCTGTAAGCGGATACCATTAGCGATGTACGTGGAATAATTCGTCGTCGCCTATCCGAGCAGCCAAAACGATATGTGAAAGCAAACCTGTGGTATACAGTTAAGTCACGTTGTGCATTGCGCCCAAATAGGTTCCTGTAGACCCAGAACTACATCTTGGCTCTGAAGTCAAGTCTCAGTAACTACCATTACTTCCGTGTCTGCTGTCCTGGTCTTAAGCTCCCTCATTTTCTCCAGAGGCTGCAGGTAGACCATGCATTTTTCAATTTAATATGTTCGAATATCAATTTAAGATGTCATGTTGCTATGTGGATAGTAGGATAGTGCAATTGTTCCATCCTTTCACATTGTCTTGTACCTGTGCTCTTGTTGTCATGTCCAATCCATCCGTGTGGTGATGGCACTCATGCTGCACGGTCGAAGTTCACCGGGCCTGCCTAAGACTCACAGCTATAAACAAGGTGTGGTTTCTCGCTCGGGTTAGCTGGACAAGAACCAGGTCCCTTGTTGCGGCTGAACCATTCGACCGATCGATAAATGAGCCCGATCGGTCGTGTGATTTTTGGGCCGGCACAGGAGTGTGGTATGTTCCGAATCCGATGCTTCCTAAGTGTTGGTAGAGGATCCCCACAGTTGTGGAACGATGAGCCATGTTGAAAATTCGGAATGGAAAATGCTCAAGCGATGATGACACTGAGCCAGCGTTTGACTCGTGGAAGATACAAGTACTATTTTTCGAAGCGGGTTCGGTAAACGGATAGTCATAATAAAACTTTGAACTTGCCTTTAGTAGGGGCTGCAATATCCACTCAGTTCAGNTACAATCATTAACCCCGCATATTCGCGCGCCGGTTTTGGTTGTTATGTTTTGGCTTCCCATGTGGATGAAGAATAAGAGAAGACAGGACAATTGAAAGTGGGATCGAAGAGAAAATGGAGAATTTCACTGGTGTAATATAAGCCCAACGCAAAACTCTTCTTGGACTTTTACCAACTGGTTTTATTCGCATTGAACGAGCTTGCTAACTAAGTTGGAGATAGCATTCCGCAGGAAAGAACGAATATTATGGACAAATGCATTATTTATTTTATCAAAGTTGTTCAATATGTTTTCCACCCTGCTGCCTGTATAAGAAAATACGGCTAAGATAGTTTTCTCACACCTTTGGAATAGTAGCAGTTGGAATAATTTCGCACTGCGCGACGGTACTCTGTTTTATCTCCAATCGTTCTCGATTTTTGAGAATAAACCGTTCGAATCAGATATTCCCACGAAAAGAGACGAAAACAGAATAGGCCATAACAATTTTGCTTATTGCATTGTTTGGTTATTTGAAATACTGGATCCTCTTCGTCCATCGTATCAAAATCGAAAGAAGATATATGTCGTGAGATTTTAAATAAAATATTAACATCTCGCGACGTATGCTTTATTTCGGTCTTGATACTCTTCGTTATCAAAGAAATTCCTCAATTCAGATAGGGATCAGTCCTCGAATATTGTAGTTTTAAAGTTTTTACAGCAGTATTTAGTGGTTACCTCTGTCAAAAGATTTGTAGAAGTCCAAGTAGACTACGCAGTAGACGCGTTTACTACCTCCCTGCATTGACTGATCTTGTCCATTCATCTCGTGCAAGTAGTAGGTCTGTGTTGCACGAGCCGCTTCTTCGAAACCCGTGTTGGGCTGGGGACGGAATATTAAACTTATCGAAATGCTCCATCAGAGAATCAGCAACAATTGATGCCAATATGTTAGTCAGGACAGAAAGATGTGTAGCTAAACGGTAGTTCGCAAGATTACCTCGACAGCCATCTTTGTAAATAGATGAAAGGATCTCTTACTTCCAGAACTGAGGTACAGCCATCTTGTCGAACATGCCATGGTATAAACCAGTAATTATTTCAGATATGTGTTGTGCCAAGGATGTCAGAGTCTGTGGGTGGATGTTGTCTTCCACCTGAGGATGAATTCTTACGTAACACCAACAGTTTGGATTTTTCCGTTTCAGGTTTGAGGTCGAAGGTGATCAGTTGGGAGTAAGGAACATTTGACGGAAGGTACGAAAGGTTAACTCTAACATTGTCAGCCACAGTGAACACTTCATAGAATTGGACTTTTAGGAATTCGGCGGCTTCAGACGTGGTAGTTGAAACGCGTTTTGCATGCGTTAACCCCAGCATTCCGTAGTGCACAATTCTGGTGGCACTGATTATATAGGAGCTTTGGATTGGATATAAGTTGATGTACCAGGATTTCTCGAAACCTCTGCTTATCCTCTCACACTAATTTTACACAAAGAGGTTTCTCAACATGATTTCGTTATCCTAAATTGTAGGTATTTGGATATCTTTTGAACTTTTGCCAGGAGAAATTCCTCTGTGACATCCATCTTTGTGTTCAACTACGAACAGAGGATGTTCGTTTATGTATTGTACCGACTGGTTCGGTTTTTGTAGGGACCTTTATGAGTTCTGCTATAGTATTATTGAATCCTTTCCAGGACAGCAATGGATTAAGCTAATAACCAGGGAGATTTCATTGCTTGAGTGCAGCAAGATTATGTAGTCTTTTGGCTCCCCATTTGGATGAATAATAGGATAAGACAGGAAAGTTGAAGGTAGAGTTAAACAGAAAATGAAGAAGTTCAGTAGTCTAAGTTTGTAAAGAAATTGAGATACACGAACGCCACTGTTTACGATACCCAGCCATATCATTCTGTGTCTCTGACCATCGGGTACGATCATCCCGAGGTCGATTCTGGTTCATTAGTGCAGATAATTATCAGGGCACTGTGATTAACTGTCCCCTTTTTCCGATTTATGTTGTATCTGCGTTGTCGATACTTTGGGCTCAGTGTGACTCTCAGAGCCCCCAAAAATTCGTCTGTTGCTGTTGTTGCTGTCGTTGTAATATAACAGCACTGAACGGGTATCGAGCTCTGGGACAATACTTGTGTTCCTCGTTGCTTTTGGCAGATAACCGAATTCGACGGAGTGTGTCAAGTACGTTGGACCAGAATTAATGTGGATTAACCTATGACACTTCGTCGGCTGCTGAATCAGGCTGATCGGGGGAATATGAGAATTCAAGGAAGCTATCCTATTTTCCAGTACTGGAATTTTGATGTTTTTTCTTTCAGTTCAATTCAGCTTGGACAGGACGTTATGTGGCCCGGACCAGTCGTACGTCCAGATAGTTGTGTAGTCGGATGATCTTGTGGTCTTTAACACTACGAGTCAATAGGTTTCGTCTGAAAGACAGAATGTGAAGTACAGTATCACGCCCCAGAGCAATGGCAATCATGACGAATGGATACTTACCACTAATCTGCTTCAGGGAATACAG